TCCCTGGACCGACCTCCATGTCAGAGACGCGACGGGAAAGTACAGCATCACAGGACTACAGGACTCTTGTCCAAGTTTCAGGAAAATGTACGTGTGTAGACCAAAGACCGCCGGGAAGTGATCTCCTGTGGCAGCACAGTGGCGAGACTACATTTCCCAGAAGTCTGTGCGAAGGCATTCCGGGAACCCAGGTAGAGAGCATTCTAACTGTTCATGGCCTTGTCCATGGTATAGATAATGCAGGACAGCCAATTGGAGTTAGGCTGGTTTTCATCCCTAGATCTACAACATAAAATCTATGAGTGTGAGTCGACCATTTGGCAGAAATGTTAGGCTTACAATGCCTTTCTAGTCCATATGTTCTAATTTTAATCTTTTTACCCCCTGGGGAAAAAAAAAGGACATTGACTCAGTTGTACTTTAAAATAACGAAGCAATACACTAACATGTGAGTGAATAGTGTCTTTTAAAAATGATTTTGAAACCAGCCCTGTTTGCCTGATTATGCTTCTAGCTGCTTAGTGGATTCTGACAAATGAACTTGAGGTCCAAGGCTAGCGTGGACAATTTATAGAAACCATCTTTCTAAATAAAAAGGAAAAAGATACTGCTACAGGGTAAATTAGTTGCGTTTAATGTAAACTTTGTCTTAATGTACAGTTGTACAAATAAATAATCCATGTTTCTGTGTGCTGACACTCTGTGTGAGCCTACATGGGTCCAACTCTCAGTGTGGTGTGAACATTGGAGGTTTTTCAGGGACTTGACACAAGAACATATAAATCACTGAACAAAGACAAAGTCCAACTCCCCATCATTTGCTTGCAAAGAACTTCCATATTCCATCTCAGGATTTTTCCACTTGTCCTCATGTCCCTTCAAAACTTTCAACTGTTAACCTATATAAGCAATTTTGTTTGTGTAAGAGCTCTTTGGAAATTTTACAAATGCTGACCTAAGAGCAGACTTTAGTGACAGACAGAGGAAAGCTTCCATCCAAGTCCCTGTCTTTGTGAATCAATGAGTGCACTGGGGTTTCAGACAGTTTGATTGACAGGTGAGAACAGAAACATAGATGACTCAAGGCAGCAACATCAAGAATACTAAAAACCTCAGTGGATTCTGGGTTAGAACTCAGCAAAGTTACATTCCTGCAGATCACTCTAAGTCTTTCAGGAAGCTCCACTGGGGGGGGGGGGCTCTTGTCCCCTACAGTATTTACTGTTTATGTCTTTTTGACCAATAAGTGTCCTGTGAGTCTTGTAAATACTCGGAATTCCCTGTGCCTATCATATGCTTACTTCTCTAAGGTTAGTGAGGCCCCTTGCAGAATGGGATATTTCCTTGAATGGGAATTGCTGTTGGTCAAATCACAAAACCCTTCATGAGTGAAGGAGCAATCAGTGCTTCTATTCAGTACTGTTTATGCTGTCAAGGGGCATGCTCCCACAGTATGGATGCACTCATGTCTAGAGGGTCTTCTTGCCTCAGTAATCTACCACAGAAGTTTCCTGAGAGACATCCGCAAAAGTTTGTACCCTAGGTGACTGGAGATCTCATCAAGTGAACCATCCATAAGTTCTGGATAACTGAGTTTGAAAGTCACCTAATTGGAGTGACCTCATCAGACATACTTATCTTCTTTACCATACCTTACCTTGGAACATGGCCGGATCCCCACAGCTGGCACCCAAACAGGAACATCAGGGAAGCACTGATTGTTATGAGTGAGTGGATCTCTCTGCCCAGGATGGATAACTCAAGTTCTCAACATAAACAGAATCGGTTAAAATTTCTGAAAGGTATACTAGAGAGTAGGTGACTTTCTTTCTCAGATAAAACACTTAATCATTTCTATGACAAAGTTCTGAAACTTTGTCCTTGGATGATGGTAGGGGAGATCTGGGATCAGCAGACTTGGGAGTGGGTTGCAATTCTTGCACAGAAGAGAGAAATAGAGGACAAACTTCCACCATACTTTTTCCCTATAGTTAAGGCTATTTCTTAGTTGCCTTAGGGGATCTGTTATTACCTTCTTTAATCTTGGTGGCAGAGCCTTGAGAGACAGAAAAAGCTGAGAACTCTGCCAGGCATACCCTGACCACTACTAGCTCAGAAATAAGAAACCAGCCAAACCAAAAGTAACTCCCCTATACCTCAAGTTGGATCAACTCAGTGAAACTGAGACTTAAGGAGAATCGCTGCTGCCATTCTCACGTGGCACAGCCTCAAAGGGACAAGTTTCAGCTTTCTGTTCCCCTGTAGGTACATGGCCCAGTGTGGTTGAGGGAGTGGCCTCCCATAAATCTTTGGGTGGACCTCTCTAGTTCTCTTGCAACAGCTATGTTGCCCCTATATGAGGATATATTAAACCGTAGAAAGAAAGACTCTTCTTCCACACAAGCTTTCCTTGTAATTCTTCAGCCTCAGGATAGCAACCACCCTCCTCAAAGAGTTTGGGAGCCCCATTCCATGGAAATACTGCAAAAGTTTAGAAAAGGAAATGAATGAGAACAGATTATATTAGCCATTTGCTAGTCAAATGTTTGGAGTCCACGGCCACCACTTTAAATACACCCCAGGATTAGAAAAATATGTGAGCAGTCTTATAAGGAGGGCAGTTCCTTCAATAGAAATCTGCATTCTATGTTGAAGGAGAAGTCCTTGGCCAAGGGAACTTTGCTTACAATGTAACTATGCTTCTCCTGCTACTCAAATGTTAGGCCCTCCTAATTATTTCTATCAGATGCACTTGTGTAACATTCGTGCCATACAGAAGACTACCAAGGGTGCTACAGTACCACTCAGTGGGTTAAAACAACAACAAATGTCTGTAGAGTGCAGGAAGCAGTCAATCCACAGGTAAATTATGCAGCTGCAGATTCCTTAATGAAGGTGCTCAAATGGGAGGGGCTACCATGGAGGCATGTAGAGCCATTGCCACGGTGTGGAGTGGGGAACTGAAGGATTGGATAACTGCCACTAGAGACCTAGGTACTACCCTCCATCAGACAGAAAGCTGGGAGCTGCTCTAGCTATTCTTTTAAAAACACAAGGCACTGAAGGTAAATGCAAGGCAGTATGTTAGACATGTGTGGTCAAGAAACTGGAGGATAACATACTTGTGGAATTATTAATACTGGGGCAGAAGAAACTTGTTTTGTTTTTGTTTTTTTGTTTTTTTAAAAGAAATTCCTACTTCTTGGAAACTTCATCCCAGGCTGCCTGTGAAGGGTATTGGCAGCTTAACATATTCTTAGCAAACAGCTTAACCAACATGGTGTGACAATGATGGTAATCAAGGGGCAATTACACCCCACTGGTAGACCCTCCCAATAACTTCTTGGGAAGAGATGTCTTAGAAGATATAGATGTGGCCATCACCACAGACAATAAACCCTTTTATGACTGTTGCAATATACAAGATAAACTACATTTGAGGCATTCCCCCAATTCTAAGGACTGTTCCAACAGGATTCCAGTTGCCCTTAAAATTGATATGGAATTCGGATAAATCTGTGCGGGTGGATCACTGTCCAAGAGGGGGAGAAAAACACCAGGAACTGCTTAAAGCTGTCTAAGAGCAACTTGACTGTGACCATATATAGCTTTCTATTGGTCTTTGGAATTCTCCTGTTTTTTTGCTATTTTAGTGAAGAAAGAAGTCAGGCAAATTTAGATTCTTACATGACCTCAGGTCTATCAATGCTACTATGCAAGCAATGGGGGCTACTGCCGGAGCCCGCCAGCAGAGTCGAACGGTTCTTGAGTTGGGAGTGAGGATTAAAATTAATAAACTAACACACAACACACATGGGATTTTTTTCCAAGAGGCTCCAGACCCAATCAGCCAGCAGCAGCAGCCTGACTTTAATGCAGAGAGCTTTTAAGCCAGAGTAAAATCAGCTCAGAACAATGGGTTAAATTTACAAGGGTGAAGCAAGAGGTGCGATCTCCACAAGCTATCCCACCTGCTGTCACAAACAAAAGGAGATGGACTTGCAAATTCTTCCCTGACTTCAGTGAAGGCCTGGTAAAAGCAGTCTTTCCGCTGAGATTTAAATATCAAAGCAGCTGCCAGATCAATGGCTCCCGACAGGTATTCGTTTTTTTATTTTTTTTTTTAAATTGCCCGTAACTTAAGAGTTATGGAGCAGAAGATTGTGCCTGTCTTAGGTTGTTTCTCTCATAAGATACATTCTTAACCTGTCATCGGTACATGAATTCCATCATTCATGCCCTGTCTTGGGTTGAACATATCCCAGAGAAACTTTACCTGTCTCTGACAACGAACCTCTGCTAGAGTAGACACTGGGGTTTGATCTTATGCAGATCAGATCAGCTTTAACATTCTAAAAGGCCTTCAGGCAGGTTTAACTTGTCACTGATAGGAACTTGCATCTCCTATCACAAGCCAAGTCCAAAATAATACTCCATAAAAGTGACTTAACAAATGACTCCTTGTGTAAATTACCAAGTCTGAGAAACATTCACAGGAACCATAGTAAAAGGCTGTCGAGCAATCAGAACCATTTGAAAGCTTACAAATACAGTTTGTTAGTTTACATTGAAGGCAAGAAACATTAAAGTTTGAATCTTGTTAACATTTCCAAACAACAAAACAAAAGGAGAATTTACATAGGCAGTTATAGGGCCTCCCAAGAGTTTCTGAAGCAAGCTTGTTTTGGTCTGCTGAAAACCAGAGTCAGACCAAAGTTTCACAGTTAGTCCTCTTTTTTTATTCTTTTTGATTTTGTTGAGAATTGTCCTTATTAACAGAACAGTCAAGTCCAGTCCATTGTATAAGAGGTTACATCTTCTCCCAGGAGCAGAATGAAACAAAAGCGGGTCAGGAGCTTAAGTCCAATGCAGCTTTTTGGTCTCAGTCAGGGCAGAATTTACGACTGTCTGCAGCCGGAACATCCTCCTTCTGGGGAACAACTCCTGCAAATCGTACCAGCCTTTCTGGGATCCACCTGGCTCCTTCTGCGTCCTGTGGAAAAACACAAATATGCCCTCTTCCCATATTAATACAGGGTCGGGGCCCTGCCATATTCCAGTAATTGAATCTTTCCATTTTACTTGGGCATAATTATCTTTGGTATTAGGAAGCCACAATCGATCAGTCACAGAACGGCCTTGTATATCCACATTTAAAAAATTTAAAATAAAGAGAGCATGATTAATATAATTCTGTGGTGTTTGGGGATATAGTTCCCCCCTTTTTATTTTTTGCAATTGTTTCTTAAGAGATCCAGGGGCTCGGTCCACAATTTCTTCGCCTTGAGGATTATGTGGAATGCCCGTTTTATGACTTATACACATTTGTGCACAAAATGCTAAAAAGCTAGACTCGTATACCCTGAGCCATTATCAGTTTTTATAATGGAACAAATACCAGTTGCAGCAAAACACTTTAAGCAATGACTTATGTTTGGTGGCTTCTTCTGTTAAGGGAGTTGCCATGATAAATCCTGAAAAAGTATCAATCGTTACATGAACATATTTTAGTTTTCCAAATTCTGGGACATGAGTTACGTCCATTTGCCACAAATGATTGAGAGTTAAGCTTCTAGGATTGACATCATAATGAGGTACATTAAAATGATCAGGACAAGAAGAACATGATCTTACAATTTGTCTAGCGGCTTCTCTGGTAATATTGTTTTCTTAAGCTCTTGCTATTTTGATGGTGTAATGCATGAGAATTTTGAGCCAATTCTTGTTGAGTTAATCCAACCAAATGTATGGCTTGATCTGCTAAATCATTTCCTAAAGTTAAAGGTCCAGGAAGCCCTGAATGAGCTCTAATATGTCCTACATAACAAGGTTGCACACGGCTCCAAATACTTTGTTGAATCTATCTAAATATATCTTGTATTTGTTTATTAGCTGTATTAACATATGTTACAGTCTCTAGGACTTGCAAAGCTTTAGCTATATAATGGCTATCAGTGTACAAGTTGAAAGACGTAGAAGCCATATTTTTAAAGACTATAGCAACAGCTCATAAGTCTACAACTTGAGCTGAGGCTGGCAATGTTTGCAAAACAAAAGTTTGTCCCTGTAGTACATAAACAGCTTTTCCATTTGAAGATCCATCAGTGAATACTGTTGGAACTTGAGGTAATGGCTTTTGTTTAATTATTTTAGGAAATACAAAAGCATGCTCATTGGCAAATTGAAGTAATTTATCTTTTGGATAATAATTATCAATACGTCCTAAATAATGAGCAAAAGCTATGGCCCAACAATCTGCATTTTAAAATAACCAATCTATTTGCTGTTTGGTAAAAGGGACTCCAATTAAGGAGGGCTCTCTACCAAAATACTTGGCGAGATTTTGTGCAAGCCATTTTAACTAAACTAGCCACTGCTTCATAATATGGTATCAGAACTCGAACAGGAGACACAGGCAAGTGCAACCATAATAATGGTTCTTCTTGCCACAATACAGCAGTTGGAGTATGAACAGTAGCCAAAATATATGCACTCCATTCTTTTGAATAATCAATATATTGAACATGCTGCTTTTCACTAGCTAATTCTATCCTTTGCAAAGGATCATGAGCTTCTTTGGTAAATTCTCTTTTTGACAAAGGATCAGCCTCTCCTTTTAAAATGTCAAAAAGTGGTTTTAGCTCTCCTGTAGTTAATTTTAAATGGGGTCTTAGCCAATTAATATCACCTAACAACTTTTGAAAATCATTTAAAGTTTTTAGGTTGTCTTTTCTTAATTGAATTTTTTGAGGCATAATGGTCCGAGGATATAATTTATGTCCCAAATACAAATAGGGTGGCTCTGTCTGCACCTTTTCTGGTGCAATTACTAAACCTAGATTCTTTAAGGCTTGTTGTAAGTGTGTAAAAGCACTTAATAAAATCCCTTCATTTTTATGAGCCAGTAAAATGTCATCCATATAATGAATAATATACACAGAAGAATATGCCTCTCTAGTTTTAAAAACAGCTTGAGCCACAAATTTTTGACATAAAGTCAGACTGTTTGCCATACCTTGAGGTAATACGAGCCAATGATACCTCTTCATAGGTTCTTTAAAATTTACTGATGGCACGCTAAAAGCAAATCTTTTACAATCTTGAGAAGCAAGAAGAATAGTATAAAAACAATCTTTTAAATCTAGTATAATTTTAAAAGTATCTCTAGGTATAGCAGAAGAGGTAGGCAATCCAGGTTGTAAGGCTCCCATTAATTCCATGGTTTCATTTACTTTTCTGAGATCTTGTAAAAGTCTCCATTTTCCTGACTTCTTTTTTATGACAAAAATAGGGGAGTTCCAAGGTGAGTTTGATGGAACGATATTGCTGCTATCAAGCTGTTCCTGTAATAACTGCTCAGCGGCTTTAATTTTCTCAAGGGAAAGAGGCCACTGATTCACCCACACAGGATCATCTGCTTTCCATGTTATTGGATCTGCATGGGGTACAGGTTGTTCAGTGGCCTCCCCTAAAAAATGACCCAACCCCTTTTTAAAATTTCTTGGGGTAGGTATTAATTGCTGAGCTATGCCTTGTCCAGATTTTTCCAATCCTGAATTAAGCATCTGATTGGTAACTGCATTGCTAGGACTATAAAGATACACTCCCATATTACTCATCACATCTCTACCCCACAGATTAATAGGAAGGCCAGGAATAATGTATGATTTAAATGTTCCCTCATGTCCTTCCTCATCCTTCCAAGTTGAGATTTAAGTATCAAAGCAGCTACCTGATCAAAGGCTCCCGACAGGCTACAGAGCCTGGCCTTCCTGCATTATCTGCAGTCCCTCATGGATACTATACTGTCACCTTAGATATTAAAAAATTTTTTTTCTCTATTTTTCTTTATCTAGAGGACAAAGAATTGCCTTTTCGGTACCTGTTATTACTAATAAAACACCCGTGAATAGATATCAGTAGAAGGAGTTGCCATAGGTGATGAAAAATAGCTCCACTATTTGTCAGTTATTTATCTGTGGGAGGCTATTTAAAGGTGGTGTAACTGTTATGTGACCCATTATATAGATGATATTTTGATTGGTCACCCTGAGCAACAATCCTTACAGCCCAAGCTCCAAGATATCTCTGCTGCTTTAAGGGCAGCTGGTCTTCACAGCGCAGCTGAAAAGGTGCAGACTCAAGAACCATATTTGTTCTGCAGGCACATGGTTACCTCTGACGTTATTAAGCCCCAAAAATTCCATTTCTCCTTTCCCACACCCCCTACATTGGCTTCCAAGCAGACCTTTCTGGGAAACTTGCCTTGCTGATACTGTAGGACAGCTCACTCTCCTCTTTTCCTGCTTCCTGGTGCCAAATGGCCAGAAGAGATTTTAACAAGAAGGCAAAATAGGCTTTATAAGATGTTAATGCAGGCCTTAATCAAGCCCTTCTATGTAGGTTTGATCCTGCTAGTGAGGTTTGGGGCCTTGTGATGCCCATGCAGGGATCTTCCACTGGGGTGCTTTTCCAACCATCCATTAAAATATTATACTTGGTTCATATGGTGCATTTTCTGCTCTTAATGTTACACCTTTTATAGATAATATTTTCACTCTTGCACTAAAGGTGCTTACAATATCCCTTTTATTGTTGAGTAAAAAGCCGGATGCAATTATTCTTCCAATTTCCCAGGACTTTCCTGCCTGAACGTTCTCATCCCACTACGTTGCTCAGCTCTTTTTATTAAATTTGCAGGGTGAAATAGATAACTGTTTCCCTAAAAATGAAATATTATCCATGCTTCCTTTAACAGCAGTGATTCATAGACAGTACTTAGTTTTAAAAACCCGTTCCTGATGCCGCTTCAGGCTTTACAGACTCCTCATAGACACATTTTGCTTATGTTATTAACGCTTGACATTACCACAAACCTAAAGTGCTTACTATTTTCTTTGAGGGATCTGTGTAGTAAGGAGAATTGTTGGTTATCTTAGACCATTTTGGAAATTGGCAAGACCCCATTAATATTTTCAGTGAAAGCCAATATGCTACTAATGATGTTAAGGCCATACCTTTAGCAGTTGTTAAACTGGCTGAAGGTCCCCTGTATTTGGTCATGATTCAACTTCAAACAATCACTGAACAAAAACAGACTCCTTTCTTTATTCAGCATGTACACTCTCATTTGGGACTTCCTGAAGCAATTTCAGTGGGAAACAGGGAGACTGATCGTCTAGTGATGGCCTTCCAGTCATCTCCATTAAGACAAGCCCAATTGCTCCATTCTAGATTTCACTATTTGGCTCTATCAGTCCACAAGATTTGTGTGCATGTGTGTGTGTGTGTGTGTGTGTGTGTGTGTGCAATTATCCATAAGTTGCTGTAAGCATTTAATACTTGCCTGTAGCACTTTTTGCCTTTAAGCCCCTTCCAACTAGCTGGAGCCAATCCTAAAGATCTTAGTCCCAACAGCTTGTGGCAAATGGACATGACCCATATTCCAGAGTTTGGTCATCTTAAATATGTACACTTCATTATTGACATCTTTTCCTTCATTCCTGTTTGCCATGGTTCAGCCTAAAGAAAATGCCAAGTTGGTTGTTGATACCGTTAAAACAGCCATGTTGGTAATGAGCATGCCATATTCAATTAAGACTGACAACAGACCAGCATATAATTTTACAGCTCTGCTTTACAGACCTTTACAGACTTTTGCTCTGAATGTAATATAACACATACCTTTGGGATTTCTTACAGTCTCCAAAGATGAGCCATAGTGGAACGAACCCATGCCTCTCTTAAAAAACAATTAAAAGGTGGGACATTAGGGATATGACCACAGGATAATTAACTGACACTCTCTTTACCATTAACTCTTAAAATTTTGACAAAAACTGTTTATCCTTGCCTGTAAACATTGGGGTGAAATACTTCCTAGGATCACCCCTTTACCATTAGTCTGCTGGCAGGATCCTATGGGCAATACGTGGATGGGTCCTGGCCTGTTCTTAATCATGGGATGAAGAGTTTGCATGTGTCTTCCCAGAGGGACAGACGAGCTGATTTGGGTTCCTGGTTGAGTAACAAAACTGTACACCTGCTCTGAGGGAAATGATGGAACTGCTCCAAAAGGTTCTACAGAATCTATCCCTGATTAGAGATGATGGTGATCACTGGAGGAGGCAAAGGGTGAGGGCAACTAGCAGACATCTCTAGTTACCTGGGGAAGCCTGAGGGCCCTTGTGAATCAGGCCCAACAAATGTTCTCTGATGGGTCCGTGACAGGACCATACACCCTGTTTCTACTCCATGTGTGCCGTTATAACTGCTAATTCCCAGGCGCGCTCACACACACACACACACACACACACACACACACACACACACACACACACACGATGCTGTGGGCTGCCCTTAGAAATCCTATCTTACTTCCAGTAAGCTGGGATTCTTGGCTTCCATCCATATATAGTGACAACCCACAGATGAATGAGCAGCCGTTTCCAGTTAATTCCACCCTATATTCCTCATTTAATGGCTCATTCACCCTCACCCCAGGGTTAATGAGTTTCTGCCCAGATGAATTCTGCCTGCCCAATAGACTTTGTCTTTTTGGCTAAGGTAATAATAACAAGACTTCCTCTAATTGGGTCAAAGTTACATGGGAAGATGGCAGAGGGGTTGCTCTCCCTGCATCTTTCTCCCAAGAGGGAGGTAGTCGAACATTTATTAATGACATTATGGCAGGAACTAATGACATTATGGCAGGGATGTTTGCTGTTCTACCTCAGAATACTTTGCTTCTAAACAATTCCACCATTCCTGCCCATCCAGACATTTCCTACTTTTGTGACTCCTGGAACTTATGTGGAGGCTGGGACCTTTGTCCTGAGTGGGAGCATCAGAATTTGGGATGCCTTTCTGTGGATAGAGCTGTTCCAGTTGCACCCCATGCCTTTTTCTGGAGGGAGATTTACCACAACCTAACTGATCATACTCTCACAATCTTTCCAATGTGACCCCAATCCTGAAGGTAGCTGGCCCCTTCGCAGGAGCCCTTAACTCTGTGGCCCTTGGTCTTGCATGGATTTCAGGTCTTTTGTACCCATTCAAGGGGTGGAAGGGGGGCGGCTTCCTATGGTTCCCTTTTTGAGGGAAATCCCAGTTGGTCTTTCAATGAGAGTCATTGGTTGCTTAATAGGACCTCCTATGGGGCACCCGCACCAAATTTGACCTATATTTGTCAGCCCTGTGCCCCCCCTTCTCTCTCTTGGTTTCACTCTCCTTCTGATGCCTCCACCTTAAATTGTTCTGTACAAAACTGTATACTTTCCCCCTGCTGGGACCCGATTAGGGATAATTCCTTGCTCCTCAGGAAACCAACACTGGCTTGGATTCCAGTGAACGTCATTAAAGGTTGGATGAGGGAGCTGTCTTTGTCAGAACAGACCTCTCTAGTTTGTACCAAGAGAGATTTTTGGTATCTCAGCTATTATTGCTGCTATTGCACTGGGCCTTACCACACACAGCTGTGACTACTCCTGCAGCGGCGACTGCCCTATTTCGACAGCACACAGCCTAAATAAGATGTCTAAGTTTACAGCCTATGCTCCATCAACAGATTCATCAATCAGCTTCTCCACTTGGGAGTCCTTACTCTTCACCATCAAATGGGTCTGCTGAAAGATGACATCATTGAATTTACAGAATTGTTGTAAGAGGTTATTAATATTTACTATTGATTTATCTTCTGGTAAATCTTGCTGTTAATCTTAAACAGCTGTATATCCAAATCACCACACAGAGACTGGGTTTTTAGTTAACCTAGAACACAATGCTGGGCAATATTTACTCCCTCCTAAACCTCCAAGCCCTCATTTTCCTAACATTTACATTTCCCACATTATACTTACTTTTTGTGAAATCTTAGGTCTGGTTCATGCTCCGTGTCCTCCAAGATCTCTCCTCCAGCTCTCCTCTCCTAGCTCTCCTCGCCCCTTCTTCTCCCACTCCTTTCCTGCTCTCTAGCTCCTCCCCTCTTTTCTGTCCTCTGACCTCCCATTGCACAACATTGTATTTAGTTGCTTTATTTTGCCCTGTTTACACAAGAGTTGAGACAGGATGCTTATAATGAGTATCACAGTGCAATATCTGGATTGAAACCAGAGAGTTGGGGGTGGGGAAATCAGCATTTGAATTAACAAGGGTAAGGTGTATACATTTCAAAAGAACATTATACCAACACGGGATCTTGCTCATGTGTGATCGCAGGTACATTGCTATTTGCCTCACTCAATACCAAAGGCACCTCAGTAAGAGTAGTGCCACGGGCTGGAGCAGTAAGAGTAGTGCCACGGGCTGGAGCCAGCCGCGACGTCAGAGCAAGTGGGGCCCTCGAGGTCTCCGGGTGGCCCCAGCTCTCCCCCTGCTGGAGCCGGTGGAGGGCTTCCTAAATAAACTTAAAAATTTTTACCTCCAGCGGAAACACATAGAAGGAACCTGGAACACACCCTTCCTTTCTCTCCTTCATTAACTCCATCAGGAGATAATGACCATAAATACCACCAGAGTGGATGTAGTTACTTTATCAGATCTAGGACATTTCTTTCAGGATGTGGCCTCCAACCTCACTTTATTTTCACCCAGTAGTTTACGACATAGTAATTGTAGTATTATGTTTTTCCTGATATAGCTTAAAAATTGTATACGCCTCCAAAATCAGCACACCATAGCCCTCATACTGCAGATTTTTAACCCTGAAATTAAAACAGAGGGGGAACTTGTGGGGAATGTCAAGGTAAGCCTTTTGGAGGAGTCAGAGACTCCTACAATTGCTCGAAAGATCCGTAGCCACTGCACATAGTGTTGATCCACCAGGGACTCCTAGCACACTCGTTAAGTCTCAAAATGGATCTGAGGCTAGGGCAGTGACTGCTTCCTTCTTTGTGGAGGTCTCCTAAGGTGACTTTGTCCCCACCATATCTCCCACATTCCCTTACAGTCGCACCAACCTGACTGATTGTTACTGGTGCTTGAAGCTAGCTAGCATGAGATGGTTTGATTGGCCTTTCAGTCATTTAGAGGCTGTGACACAGGACAATAAAGTCAGATCTGCACCTTTGAGTCTGGTCTCCAGATTCTGGTCTCAATAATTCTGGTCTCCAGATTATTGAGATTCTGCATGGGCTGTATTGCCACTCACCCCCTAACCCTGGTTTCTGATCCTCACATGTATCTATATCTCTGATGGAATGACTTTCACTGCATGAGTGTAAGTGAGATGAAAGAAACTCACGTGTGAAGTTACTGTCTTACAATAATTTTGCACCTAGGTTTGAGGTGTAGAAACAGGAAAAGGTCTGGTACTAAATTGCCCAAAGGGACTCCATTTTGCCTGACTTTTATCTAACTGATCACCCAAATTAACCAATGCTGAGAAAATACTGTCATGCATACTCACCTGCAGCTTTGGAAGATCCATTGTTTTACAGCATAAAACAAATTGTTTGAATCAATGGAAGAGAAACTTTTCAAATTTTAGGCCCCTGTCCCATCTCTAGCATGAAAAAACTGTTGGTTTGGGAAAGAAACAAAACATAAGGCACCAAACAATAGCTGAGACAGCATACATTAAGTAGATTATTCGATCATTCATTCAGTGTCCACAAAAATGATATAAGAATGATTTAAGTGAAAATTTTTATTCATTACTTCTTCAGTCAACATCTTAACTCTTAGAAGGAGACCCAGGGAAGGAGCTTCCCAACCAAGCCAGGGTCAGAGGGTCACGAAATGAGCTATGTATTTCCTGACATCAAAACCCAAATTAGTCCTTCTGATCCTCCAAGGAGGTAGGTGGAGATAATTTGTCTAGTCCTAATTGTGACAAGTTGAAAAATTCCTGATGTACAAAGCATAATAGTTTAACAGTATGTGCACAGGTAATATTAATTTATCTCACTACCCTTGCTATGCAGTTTGGATTTAACCTTCTTTTATATAATCGTAACACAGTGTCTTGTAAGGTGAACAAATCCCATCTTCAAAAGCTTAGCTGTACAGTTCAAGAAACCCCAGCCCTAAAGGTGAAGCTGGGTTCAGATTTCCCAGCAGGGGCCTCGCTGTGTATTTGCTCCAAGTATGTTTTCTATCCCTCCAGTCAAAGCTGTTCTACAGCAGCTCATGCTGGTTCCTTAGTCTTCTGTATTTGAGCACTTCATACCTGAGAACTTTGTGGCTCAGATTTTCCCTCTTTTAATTCTTTAGCCGTCGGAGAAAAGGAACACAAGCAGACCTCAGAGGAAGCTGCACAAACCATTGAGACACCAATCTATTAGATATGGATGGTTCATTGAATGCACACCCAAAGATTGATCATGACCAGGGACACAGCGGACCTGGGGGCCAAACTGTAACATCGAGTATTTCTCAGAATTAGCTTATAAAGTCAAAAATTGCCACTAGCTCACATGGGGGGGTGGGGGTGCAACAGGGTAATCCCCTCTGGCTCAAGTAATTTTTGTTAATTAGACAAAGCAGTTCCAGCTGGCCTTTAAGTTGATTGGTCCCAAGTGGAGTTTATCATTAGGGCCTGCTGTGCTTATGGTTGGGGGATTTCCAGGAGTACCAAAGCCATACAGTATGTTGAACTGATCTTGCACAGAGAGCTTTTTGGTCAACCTGATCTTGCACAGAGAGCTTTTCCCTGGATAAGCAACAAGCTGAGATGATGTGACTGGTCCTCCTGAAACAAAAAATAGTTATAGTTATGAAGCAGGCCTCAACACAAGGACATTACAGTAGGCCAGCTATAGAGAACAATAGGGATCTGAAAACACATTTCTTCTAAAGGTACAGAGGAATCTGCCAGCGTCCATGTGAGAATGGGGCAGCTAGTGAAGCATGCTTCCCACCAAAGCAGTTCAGTGCGCTCCCAGCACCTCCTCTGGAACAGGAAGTCAGATGACCTACAAAAGCAGGCTATCTTGGCCCTTGTACTGTTATCTACTCCTGCACTACCAGGCCGCTATTGTGTCCAGAAGCCCTAGGCGGGCTCAAACTCCAGGCTCCTTAGATGCCGTTTCTAAGGAAACGGTCACTCAGGGAAAAATCCCAACAACCCGGTTCCCAGCCCTGACCTGCCCTCTCAAGTGTCTCAGCCAGTTCAGCCCAGCACCCCAGCAGCTTCTTCCGACCACTCACCCAGCCCAGGTGCGCTCCCTCCAAGACCGACCCCGCACCCCGCACAGTGCCTCAGGCTGCGCTGCTCCCTGGACCGACCTCCATGTCAGAGACGCGACGGGTAAGTACAGCAGCACAGGACTACAGGACTACAGGACTCTTGTCTAACTTTGAGGAAGAAGCACATGTAGACCAAAAAGCCAGATAGGGATTTCCTGGACTGCTGTGATGTCACAGTAGCCAGATTGAATTTCCCAGAAGTCCATGCGGAAGGACGCTCAGAACCTAGGGGAAGTTAAACTGTTTCTAGTTACCTCCCTGACAACCAGCTGTAGAGTATGGGAGGCAGAAACCTAGTTTGCAGGACAACCATGGGGAGTCGGGCGCTTTTAACCTCCAGATCCGCAACAGCAGACATGAGTCAAGCCTTTCACAGAAATATTAGGCTTACAAGTCACTTTCACTTCCTATGTTGAAGTTTTAATCTTACTACAGCCTGAAAATAAAAATAAAAAATAAAATAAAAAATCACGCTGGCTTAATTGTACTTGAAGGAAGTAATAACACTAAATGTGGGAATGAAAATCATCTTAAGATTCAATGTTTTCTTTTATCTCCCAGTGGTTCTTGATGCCTCTTTGGTTACTGGGCTCTCGAAGAATGTCCTTCCTGTTTGAAATGGCACCAAAACTGACACACTTACAAAATATTTGTCCAGCACCATAGCTAGCAGCCTTTCAACTTTAGCACACCTGACACTGTTTTAAATTCATTATTCATTATATTATCCCCAAAACAGTTCTTGCTGGGAAACAGCCAGTTTGTACTTGCTTATCCCATGTCAACACAGGGGGTCGCAGAATTTGCTGAGTGTTTACTAACTGTCCAGTTACCTTAAAAGAACCCACTGCAAGGTGAACTGAATGGAAGCATGTTGCTTTCTTGTGTTCAAATCCTGAGGTAAAGAGGGCAAGACTCTGAAAGAAAACACTGTACTAGCTCTGATGTATCTGGGAACGTCAGCTTTATAAATAAAAAAATCTGATTTTTTAAAAATTATTTATGGATGTATATATTTGAATAGCACTCCTTATATTTTCCCTTTAAAAAAAAAAGAGCCTTATAACTTAGTAAAAGGCCTAAATCGACTAACTGCCATGAAACAGGTATACAATCACTGGATCCATAATTGGTACAGTGGGGGTCCATGGCTGAACAGCTGAAGGATTTAAAACTGTTCATCCTTCTGTATTAGGTATTAATAGTCTGGCCACTTCATAGTGGCAAATGAAATGGCCGATATGAGAAAGGTTGAAAAGCTCTTGGGAATAGGCATCTATAGTAAAGCAAGACCTGCACATACAATGCTTCAGACTTGTAGATCAGACATCTGGTAAGCATGTCCATCCTCTGCTCAGTGAGTGCATTTGGCTTTGATCCTAATTACAGTACGGGAGTTTGTTGCTGTGACAATGATGAAGGTATTGACACACACACAAACACTTTTCTGAACTTAGGGGATAAGAGTTTCTTTATTCTGGAACAAAATATGACTGACAATGTGCTCTATCACATTTCCTGGAGAGAGAAACACTAAGCCCATTCACCTCAGATTGGTACCAATACAGATCATTTCACCAGAGCTCAACATTGTGAGAAATATGAGTTCATAGAGCTTCTTACACACCCAGAAGAGACATTATTACAGGAACGGGGGTGACCCCCACCTAGAAAAGCACAGTAAGTACAGCGTGGCCCAGAACTCAGATTCAGTCAGCCAAAGAACCATGTAACAGCATGGTAACAGCTTCATGGTACATTGATAGTTACAGAAGAAAGAAATTTCTCAGTCAAGGCATGGTTCAAACACACTACTTTACAACGTGGTGAGGAGATGCATCAAGGATACATCTCTACAGTTCTCTGATCACAGTCTTAGCGTCTGTGCTGGTCGACATTAGGCATTTGTTTTAATATTCCAAAATAATTAACTTAATTGTTACACAGATGTAAGGTCACAGAATGAAACATTCTTCACACCTATATGGTTATTCTCCAGGATGAGGATTGTGGTGACTAAGGTCAAAATTAGTGTAAAACATTTTGCCGCATTCCTCACATTAGTAAGATTTCTCCCCAGTATGATATAATTTGTTGAGATGGTTTAAGAGAATAGAAAAGATTCTTTAACATACTTCACATTTGTATGGTTCTTCTTTGGTGTGAGCTCTCATGTGTACAGCAAGTTCTTGGTGAGTATAAAAGTCCTTGACACATCCTTCACGTTTGTAGGGTTTCTCTTGACAATAAATTGTTTCATGTCTCTTCAATTTGAGGTACAACCATTACACCTCACTTTTCACATTTGTGGCATTTCTCTCCAGTATGAACTATTTTATGCTGAAACAGGGAACAATTAATAGAAAAGGCTTTTCCATATGCATCAAATTTCTATGGTTTCTCTTGACAATGACTTCTTTTATGTTTCTTAAGTCTTGAAGTAGAATAAAACATTTTGCTACATTTACAATGATAGGATTTTACTCCAGTATGACATAACTTCTGCTGAATTAAAGAAGCATTAGAAGAAAAGGCTTTCCCATATACTTCACATTTTTTTATGGTTTTTCTCTGGAATGAACCAGCTTGAACTTAGTAAGAACAGATAGCATAGAAAAGGCTCTGCCACATTCCACATACTTGTAGAAACTGGGGTTAGAATGAATTATTTGATGTCATATAAGGGATGAAGAAAAGGAAAACATCTGCCACAGTCTCCACACTTGTAGGCTTTCTCTGCAGTATGGAATGCCCTGTGTCTCCTAAGAAATGAGTGATAGAGCTTTTGTGACACTCTTCACATTTGCATGGTTTCTTTCCAGTGTGAACTTTCTGATATTCCTGAAGGCACGCAGAACAAGAAAACCTTTTGCCACATTCTACACATTCATGGGGAGTGTCTTCAGAATGGATTATTTGATGCCTTCTAAGGGCTGTAAAAGGAAGAACATTTTCCCCACTCTGGACATTTGTAAGGTTTCTCTCCAGTACGAACTGTCTTGTGTATTCTAAGGACTGAGAAAGGCTTTGTTATTCCTTTTTTGTTGTTGTTGTTTAATTTATTTATTTTATTACGTAAACAATGCTCTGCCTGCATGAACATCTGTAGGCCAGAAGAGGGCACCAGATCTCATTATAAATGGTTGTGAGCAACCATATGGTTCCAGGGAATTGAACTCAGGACCTCTAGAAGAGCAAGCAGTGCTTTTAACCTCTGAGCCATCTCCCCAGCCCGATCAAAGGCTTTGTGACATTCTTCACCCTTGTGTGGTTTCACTCCAGTATGAATTGTTTGATGTTCCTGAAGGGGTAGAAAACAGGGAAACTTTTGGTCACACTCTTTACACTTGTAGGGATTGTCTTCAGAATGGATTGTTGATGTCCTCTAAGTTCAGAAGAAGAGCAAAACCATCTGCCACAACCTTTCCACTAATAAAGATTGTCTTTAGAGTGAATTGTTTGATGCCTTCTGAATGATGAAGATAAGCGAAAACATTTCCCACACTCTTCACACTTATATGGTTTCTCTCCAGTGTGAACTGTTTGATGTTCTCGAAGGTTAAAAGAACAAGAAAACCCTTTGCCACAGGCTGCACACTTGTAGGGATTGTCTTCAGAATGGATTTTTTTATGTCGTCTAATGTACGAAGATAAGGAAAAACATTTGCCACACTCTTCACACTTATAATCTTTTACTGGAGTATGGATCACATTGTAGTCAATAAAGAAAGTGGGCTTGGTAAACCCTTCTCCACTCAGGTCCCCATTGTAGGCTTTCTTTCCAGTGTGACCTGCCTTGTGGTACTTAAGGGATGCGTGGTAACGGAAGACTTTGTGACATTCTTCACACTTGTATGGTTTCTCTCCAGTGTGAGTTCTTTGATGTTCCTGCAGGTGAACAGAACGGGAAAACCCTTTGCCACATTCTTTGCATCTGTAGGGATACTCTCCAGAATGAATTCTGTGATGTTCCTTAAAACATGAAAGATAGCAAAGTGATTTTCCACATTCTTCACACTTGTACCTTTTCTCTCCAGAATGAATTCCTTGATGTTGCTTCAGCGTTGAAAGACAGTGAAATGATTTTCCACATTCTTCACACTTGTAGGGTTTCTCTGCAGAATGAATTATTTGATGCTGCTTCAGTGTGGAAAGATAGTAAAATGATCGGCCACATTCTTCACACTTATAAGGTGTCTCTCCAGAATGAATTATCTGATGCTGCTTCAGCATTGAAGGAAAGTAAAATGATTTGCCACATTCTTCACACTTGTAAGTTTTTTCATCACTATGATTTTTCTTGTGTATAAAAAGCGATGAGCGAGTACTAAAGGCCTTATGACATTCTTTACACTTGTAGGGTTTTTCTCCAGTATGAAGTCTCTGGTGTCTAGAAAGTGCTGAGTGTGCACTAAGGAGCTTACCACATTCTTCAAACCTGTGGGGTTTCCTTCCTGAATAAATCCTCTGGCATTGAATGGGTAGTGAGTTTTGATCAATGGCTTTGTTGTGATCGTTAAACTCATTGACTGTTGTTCCTGTTGGGCAAAAGTTGAGATATGAACAAAAGGTAAAAATATTCATCATACTTATAATGCCTATCTCTAAAACAGAGGCATTTCTTCACACATATTTAACCATATTTCAATAGTTATAGGTACTGAACACAAATCACAAAATAGAGTAGGTAAAGCCAACCTGTTCTTCTACAGGAATAACTAACTGCACAACCGAGTAGAACACAGACATAATGCCATATTTTCCAAAGTTAAATAGCTAAGTACTGTGTAAGGGCATCTCACTAACAGAAATAAGCCCATTAAGCAATATAGATGTTATGTAGCTTCACATTAATGAAAGTATAAAGTTGTGAAGCCTGGAAAGAGAAAGTTGAATGTGATTGAGTGAGATGGGCTGTCAGCAAAATAAAATATGTATGTATGTATTTATATATGTGTGTTTGTGTGTATGTATATATAATATAGAGTTTTATTTTTGAAAGTACAGAAGATATGCTGCATAAAAAGCAGACTGCCCACAACAAGACTAAATAGTATATTTCAACAGTTAAGGCAGTATTTTATGTTTTAATTCTGGTGACAAGAAAATAGATACCAAAAAGATATCAAGTCATGACAGAAAACTTCACTTTACCTGTGAATAACAAAATGCTGCTGAGGCATCATCTCTGCCAGCGAATAGATGAGAAAAGGACCTATTTCTTTTGCTCCCGTGTTTTTGGGTTTTGAAACAGGGTTTCTCTGTGTTGCCCTGGATATCCTGGAACTTGCTATGTGCAACTTGCTACCTGGCCTTGAACTCAAGAGATCGGCTCGGCTCAGCCTCCTATGGTCTGGGATTAATAGAGAGAGCGACTAGGCCTAGGGGATAAGATTAAGTATTTCTAAGATTTATTCATTAAATACCATTGAGCACTCAATCGAAAGAGACAATGAACAAGGCATGAAAATGAGAGACTTTGGTTACCCATGAAATAGGAATTCACAGAAGCAAACATTTTTTCTTGCACTATCTGGATGTGTTTCATCGATGTGTTTTATCCATTCATAGAACATAACAACATAGAACATCAAGTTGCAGAGTAAAGAAACTTCTGAAAGCTCATTGATGAGCTATTAAGTACATTCTCCTAGCTGGGAGCAGTTTCAGTCTTTGAATATATATTGACGAAAGGCATGCATTTCAATCCTTATTACTGACTATGTGATAGACAATTTGAGAAGATATTTTCATAATTCATAAAGCACTTTTACGAGATGACTTTCATTACATGAAAGTGCTTTGTAAATGTGTTAGGAAAGAATGTTACTGACTTTGCTTGGAAGGAAGAACTTATATATGAAGATCTGCCTTACACTGGTTTGACACTGTGATCTTTAGAAATGCATGCAGTTCTCTGAGGTAGAGAAACAGTCAACATTTTACTGAAGGGCCCACTGTGACTCCATTTTGCCTGAGTTAATCCACCTGCTGGCCCAGCTAACCAACCCTGCTGAGAACATGTTCTCATGCACTATCACCTGAAACTTTGGAAGATCCACTAAACCAAATCGCTTGAATCTATGGAGCTGCTACTGCCCTTCCTCTGTTTAAGGGAATTATTCCTAAAGTTATAAAGTTCTCTGCATTGTTAAAAAAAAAACGAATTAAGATGTTTATCTAGTCACTTATGTCTTTCCTAATACTGTTAAACTGTAGCCATCTGCAAACACTGAGTCATGACAAGAACTGTGGAGATAATTAATTGTGCATCTTTTTATTCTTACAGGTGTGTCTTTAGAAAGTCAACCTTATTATTTTTCCTCTAATTTATTCTTTATGATAAAACAAGCTACTTAATAAAGAAAATCTGTAGGACTGATTTAGATTTTACAAAGTACGCTATAAGACAATGGTTCTCAACTTGTGGGGCACGACCTCTTTGTGGTTGAAGGAATCTTTCACAGGTAGAATTACAGTTATGAAGTAGCAATGAAAACAATTTTATGACTAGGGTCACCAAAATATGAGGAACTGTATTAAAGGGTCAAAACATTATGTAGGTTAAAAGACACTAATCACAAGAGCGAATTTTTGAGGCTGAAATTTTTTTAAAGATTTATTTATTATTTATACAACAGTTTTCCTGCACACAAGATCTTACTATAGGTGGTTATTATCTATGATGTGGTTGATGGGAATTAAACTCAGGACCTTTGGAAGAAACAGCCAGTGTCCTTAACCTCTGAGCCATCACTCCAGGTCAAGGCTGAAATTTTTAATAAATAAATTACTTTCACTTCTTAAATCATCATTTTATGGGAGTCACTAATTTATTGTAAGCTGTTACAACAAAGGTAATTAATGTGTAATAGTTAATGATGACTCACATTATAAATAATGCCTATCTTTAATGTGTGCAAAAAATTCAAGCTAAATACAAATGTAATTCATTTACAGAGACAAATTAGAAGAAGAGACAAATTTATACCTGAGCATTATACAGTTCTCTACATGTTGTCAAAGTTAAGCATGAGGCAGGTATCTCAAGCAAATATAAGTTCAACTTAAAGTTTGCTCAATATTGAATAATATTCAAAATCAGCTGTACTTAAAAAATCAGTTTATTGAAATTGAATGCTTGAGTAAGAAGGGTTAAATCTACAGTATACTTGCATGGCACTATACACCCAGGACAGATTAGCACAGTTAACCTCTGATGGGACACAGACTTATCCTGCCAACTCAGCACAGGATAAGAAAGCAGAGAGAATAGGATTTGTCAGCATCTCCTGCTCCTGTCTCCCTCTGGCCTGTAAACCAGACCAGGAACTCCTACTCCTTACTGCAGGGAAGATGAATTACTGTTCATGTCTCTCAAGACAGGCAAGTGGACTCTCTCAAACTCAGATGGATCAGACTCTGCACCCACATCTTAAATGTCTCAAGCAATCGAGACCCCATTGCTGTTCCTTTGTACTGAAGGCTCCCTGAATAAACCCAGAGGCCAATGGTCCTATACACGGGTGAAGGAAGTATGAAGTATCAACAGGAGACCTTAGTCTTCTTTTTGGACTAAATATAGACATAAACTAAATATAGTTCCTATAGGACTAGTCACAAAGGCTGCCCGTGACTGGACTCTACAAAAACATTTTACTAGCTTTAATACAACTGGGAATATCACATTTAAAAGTTATAATATTTTAAAATTTTATGATTTTTAAATTTTACTTAGTCATTTATTTTATTTTTAAATTTAAATTCTAGGACTCACAATGCTGCAACATCCCCCTGCTTCAGGAGAGGCCTGGTACCCAGAACCCAACATAAGGCAGATCACTGACACTCCTCACACCTGGCACAGCTTTCCCCCAACAATCTGCCCCTCCCCCCACCACTGTATCCCAGCCCATAACTTTGGCAGAAGCCCCCTGCTCTAACAGCAACCATAACCCCAGGTAGAGGCAATACTAGTACCCAGAACCCAAGTGACCTCCCACGCTGCCAAAATCCCAGTGGTAGTACCATAGTGAACCAGTGAACTCACTGGTCAGTATAAACACAGGCCACTCAGCCAAGAAGATCAAAGAGGAAATAGAAACCATAGGAAAAACACCCATGCAACTAATATAAACTCAGAAATCAGCACCTATATCTATATTTACCCCAAGAGGCCAGTGTAAGAACAAAATAACAGCCAAGACAATTTGTCACCACCAGAGCCCACCTATCCTACTACAACAAATCATGAATATCCCGACACAGCTGAAAAAGACCTTAAAACCAACTATCTAAAGATGATAAAGGTCCTTGAAGAGGAGATTAATAAAACCCCTGAAGAAATGCATGAAAACACAAACAAACAATTGGAGTAAATTAATAAAATTCCCTTAAAAAGCCAAGAAGAAAAACCAAACAAACAGGTGAAGGAAATGAATGAAACTGTACAAGACCTGGATAGGGAAAAGAAATAAAGAAAATACAAACTGAGGGAATCCTGGATGAAAAAATCTAGGCAAGCAATCAGGAACTACAAACGCAAGCATTGCCAGCAGAATACAAGAGAGACTCCCAGGTGCAGAAGACATGATAGAAGAAATTCATATAGTGGTCAAAGAAAATGTAAAATGTAAAAAAATTCTTGATACAAAACATCCAGAAAATCAGGGTCACTGTGAAAAGACCAAAACTAAGAATCATAGGAATGGAAGAAGAATCTCAGTTCAAAGGCCCAGAAAATATTTGTAACAACATCATAGAAATAAACTTTCCTAAGTTAAAGAAGGAGATTCCCTTAAAGGCACAAGAAGTTCACAGCACACCAGATAGATTGGAGCAGAAAAGAAAGTATACCTGCCACATAATAAGCAAAACACTAAACATACAGAACAAAGAAAGAATATTAAAAGCTGTGATGGAAAAAGGCCAAGTAAAAGATAAAGGCAGACCTATTAGAATTACACTTGACTTCTCAGTGGAGACTCTAAAAGCCAAAAGGCTGGGGACAGATATCTTATAGACTCTAAG